TCCATACTTATATATACATCCAGAGGATGAGAGCTCCCAGGAGAGCATTACGGACAATTACTGTGTTTAATGATTTCATATTTGCAAAACTAGAAATACAATGCCCATGTCAATTACCAGAGCAGCGTCAGAGCCCGGATCTCTGTGAAAGCTGTGAAATGACGGGCTGTTAATCTGAGAGCGGCACTTACAGTCCCCACAACGGTGATTAATCCCACCGTGTGTGTATGTGTTAGCTAAACGCTGATGTGCCTGCATCTGTACTGCAACGACGCAGCTAAAAGCCACCTCAATGATCAGTCATGCAAATGATTTAGAGCTGGTAATTTCACCACAATGTCGAACGATCTGCATTTCATTAGCGTCAAATCCACGTGCGTTTAAGCAGTATCAGAAAAATTGCTCAGCGTCCCTTCGGGAGCGATTCCATCTTTTTAATATGAGGCCTCTGTCCACACGCCAATAAGTCACGGTTTTCGACGTTAATGTCTTCAACGCGGATTTATGAGAACTCTATTGGGCTTTGGAGCAGGGGTGTGTTGTGGTTGGTGTAATGTTTATCTCAAGGGAAGCATTACGGGGGGAAAAAGATGGAGAATTAATTATTCAGTGCGGTGGCACTTACCTGGCTCGACACACAGACGCACAAAAACAACACAACAAACGCACGCAGACAGACAACGACACTCACATGCACAAAATTGCCCTCCTGCTGTTCTTTGAATTCCCCATTTTCAGATTTGTTCCTGCTCCAGGGTTGTGCAGGGGGGGGGGGGGCGATGCCTTCTTATTGTTTACTCAGCTCAAGTGTAAACAGTAGGATATCAGATTGAATCGTATCTCCAGATAACTGCAGTGTAATTGACATTCATGACATTGTCTCCGCCTGTGTACTGAGTGTAAGCACATTTTCCAAATCTAATCTGCTTTTTGCCTTCTTGGCTGAAGTTGGAGTCACACGAGGGAGGGAATTAAGTCTGTTTGCAGTATCTGTGCCGCCACGAGGGGGTGCTGTTGTAGATGGATTTTCCCGAGCAGAGCCTTCCCCAAGGCAGCAAAACAAATGAGGCTTATAGAAGTTTAATTTATTCGTTCCCTCCGTCATTCCTCTTTCTCTCTCCTTGTTGAACTTCTTCTCTCAGAGCTTCCCGGTCCTCCCACCAACATGGCAATTTCCAACATAGGCCCACGCTCCGTCACGCTGCAGTTCAAGCCTGGATATGACGGCAAGACTTCCATTTCCCGTTGGCAGGTGGAGGCTCAGGTGAGACAGATCTAATCCCTCATCATGTTTTCTTTTCTTTGGATTCCAAACATTGAGACAAGTATGATTTGTGGATTTGATTGATTCCTTTGTTTCTTCTGCTCGCTGCTGAATCCGTCCGTCGTGTTTTGTGTTTGTCTCAGGTCGGTGTGGTCGGAGAAAACGAGGACTGGGTGATGGTCCACCAGGTGTCCAACGAACCCGAGGCTCGCTCCTTAGAAGTGCCTGGACTCAACCCGTACACCTTCTACAGGTAAACCACTGGGAACCGTGGCCACGTCCACACTGCTGCAAAGTTTACAACAGAGACTTTAAAAATGCTGATAGTTGAAGTTTTAAAACTCTGTGGTTGCATTTTAAGGATAAACAGAGACTTGTGGAAGCAATGAGACACATTCGCTTCCTGAATGGGTCTGATCCATCAGGACTCGACAACCAGCAGTAAACGCAACACGGATAACAAATTACACCACTTTAATTCAACAGTTCCACCTCGTTGTTGGTCCAAGAAAAGAAATCCCTGCTCTTAGTTTTTTACTTTTTGCTGTCTCTCGTTCTGCAGAGTATAATCCGCGTCCTTTCTACACCAGTGTACATGAGGAGTTTTTTTTGTTTTTGTTTTAAACTCTATTTTAAAATGAAAACATATAAGGGTGAAGCAAGATTTCATCAGTTTTCATGGCAGACACCCTCCATCTGAGATGAAATCAATTTTCTTACTAAGTCAATAGGAACCACAGCAGCAGTAAGTGCACACAAAAACAGAAAATAGACACATGCAGCTTAGATCTGCTTTCACACATTATCATTGTTAAGAATAATCTTGTTGAAGAGTTTATTATTGTTCACTGCTGGAAAAGCTGGAAATTAAACACATGCTCATTGTGACAAACTGCAGGTAGAGGGTGTATACTCACTCCAGTGCCTCGGCTAATTTCACCATTTCCCAGGAGCTCATCCTATTTCCCGTTTTCTCAATTTTTGGTTACAAGCTTGTCATGGTTAGTGTGATTTAAAAAAAAATGTTCCCAGTGTGCGCAATTTCTTTATCTTCGTGCATTCTGCCAGTTTCCCATGATTGCAATCAACCTAACCAATTAACATTTCACAGAGCCGATCCCCAAAGATCCTCAACCTCTATAGTTCTCACCACTCCAGCATCGGTGCTGCCGCTTTACTTTACAGCGGAGGTAAACATTCACACCGGAGGATTTTTCAGTTTTTGGAACACGAGCTCCCAATCAGCATATTCATATTGTATTAATATTCAGCTCTGCGATCTCACTTTATATGCAATAAGCCTCGCGCACGGAGATGCACACTGCGAGTGCATTCTGTGATTTCAGTGCACGGGAAACTATCTTGCATTGTAATAATGTTGAACTCCAAACACCAGGTTCCGTATGCGTCAGGTGAACATAGTGGGAACCAGTCCTCCCAGTCAGCCCTCCAGAAGGATCCAGACGCTGCCGGCTCCTCCTGACATGGCTCCTGCCAACGTCACCCTGCGCACCGCGAGCGAGACCAGCCTCTGGCTACGATGGATGGTAAACGCCACTTTGGTTCTTTTGTGCACATCACGTGTTCATCATCCATCACGTTTCTTGATCGTCACATCATAAAAACTCTTTCATCCCCTTCTCCTCTCCCTGTTCATCTGCCCAGCCTTTACCTGAATGGGAGTACAACGGGAACGCGGAGCAGGTGGGATACAGAGTTCAGTATTCCCGTGCCGGCTCACTGGGCCGAGCGCTGATCCACATCATCGCCGATCGCCTGGAGAGAGAGTTCACCATCGAGGACCTGGAGGAGTGGACGGAGTACGAGGTCAGGGTCCAGGTTGTCAACGGCATCGGGACGGGACCCTGGAGCCAGCCGGTCAAAGGCAGAACCAGAGAGTCTGGTGAGTTAGTGCCTCTCCGGCTGTCCGTCAGATAAGTTCAGGAATAAGACGTAGCTCCCATGTGTTCGAGCAAATGTGTTCAGAAAAGTCTGCTCCACCAAACTCTGTTCAAAATACTTTAGATTTTAAAAGTTTCCTGCTGAATATTGAAGATAAACTCTGGTTTTAATTTTGGTTTAAAGTCTTTTGAACAGTTCAGCTTTACTCTTCAACTTACTGGACCTGATTCCGACACTTGGAGCTGCGACTCAGTTCAGTTCCACACTCCTCACAGGAGCTTGTACCCGCTCACCAGAGACACATAGAACAGACGTTCAGGGGACGAAAAGAGGAAACACTCTCCATATTCACACTCAAACATCAAACTCATTCTGAAGCTGCTATTTCAAGGTAAAAAAAAAAGTGGCATAGTGTTGCTCTAAATCTGGATTTTATGGAAATGAAAGCTGTAACACTTTTCTAACTACGTTTATGCAAAGCCTGTGTGGAATATCTACATTATTAGTCACTTTAGATGAGATTAGTAACGAGCACGGTCGCGGTTTACACTTTGCCATATGTTTGTGAGCACACTGTTTCCCACTCAAGTGCCCTGCTGAAGTCTTCTTCACAGCCAGTTTCTGTTTCAGCCTCTGCTCTGCACCAGACGCTGGGCAGCGAGGAATGAAAGGAGTCAGAGGAAATTGAGAACACATGGACTTGAATGTGGAATTCCTGCGCTCTCCTTTTTTTTT